ATCACACCTTTTTTGTGGTTGAAAATGAAGGAAAAGTTATTGATGTGATGGAAAATATTATTTTATTGATGAATGTGTGGTTGAAAATTAATAGAAGAATGAGAATGAAAAAAAGAATGGATACCAAACAGAGGCTCAATAAAATTCTGTAGAATCTATAGACATTAATAAATCTATTTAAATTCTGAGTATAGGACGCCATAGCCTTTTGTTGGCCCCAATTCGTCTGAGCCCATAACACTCTAGTGGGATGATGAGGTGATGTGTTCTTCCCACTCCCAGGAACCCTAGATCCGGAACATATTTTTCTTGAGAAAATCCAATCGTAGAAGCTTTACTGAATCATCGTCCAAGGTTCGACACATACGATTTATAGACGTGATCCACAATACTTCAAGATAATGGCTATGTATTTTTGCAAAAGTAACCCTTCATTTCTTTACAAATCCCCTTTTTCATTCTCATTTTCTCTCCTTTTTTCCTCTTCCTCGACCGAAAAGAAAGTGAAAAATGATCTTACAGCGTATGATGTCCTGCTACACAAACACCAATTTTCTCCTGAAACAGCTTCACAAGTTGCCTCTGTTTTAACCCGTATAAAGAACCCGGAAAAATCTGATTCAATAGTATCGTTCCTCAAAGAGAGTGGTTTTTCAAAGAGTCAGTTGGAGAGAGTTGTGAAAACTATGCCTGCTTTGCTTGCTGCAAGTCTTGAGAAAACCATCAAGCCCAAATTCAAGATTTTCCAAGATATGGGCTTTTCTGCCGAAGACATTGCCGAGATTATCTCATACGATCCAGAAAATCTGCATCGCAGTGCAGACAGTAGGCTCAGACCGTCATTATCGGTGTTGAAAAGATTATTGGGATCTAGTGCAGAGGTAACTAAGGTTTTAAAGATTTCTCGTTGGTACTTGAGTCGCGATTTGGAGAAGAGTGTGGTACCCAATATTGAATATTTGAAGAGTTGTGGTGTAGGCATGGAGCAAATCATAAAGAATATGTATAAATATCCAAGGTTTCTCATGTATAGTCCAAAACATATGAAAAGCTCTGTTAAAATGGTTGATGAGATGGGGACTTGTAGAAGTTCCAGATTGTTTATTCGTGCTGTTCAGGTTGTTGGTTCAATG